AAGGTGCAGGGGCAGATAAAGATGATGATGAGGATGAAGAAATCTACAAGAAGGTTAAAATACGAAGGCAATTAAAGCTCAAGAGGGTGAAGACGAAAGTACTACTTCAATGGGTACTACTGCTATTGCTTGTGGGTTGTTTAATTGCTAGCTTAATGATTCCCAAATTGAAAAATTACAAGATATGGAGCGTGGAGTTATGGAAATGGTTTGTGCTTATAATAGTGAAGATTTGTGGTATGTTAGTCATCAATTGGCTGATGCAATTCGTAGTATTGCTGATAGAACTGAATTTCTTGTTGAGGAACAAGGTGTTATACTTTGTTCATGGATTAAAGAAGAGTGTTCATGTATGCCTTTGGTTGATTGGAGTTCTTACTACATGGATATGGTTGTTCAATGGCCATCATGTTAAAAGATCAAAAACTGCCACTAGGGTTTTGGATTTCTTGACATGGACTATCGTTTCCTTACTCGTTGGTTCAGTCTTGTGGCTTCTCAAGACTTTATTGATAAAGATTTTAGCAACAAATTTCCACGTCAGCAATTTCTTTGATAAAATCCAAGAATCAATCTTTCTTCAGTATGTTATCCTTACCCTTTCAGGGCCTCCGATTATGGAATCATTAGAAAATGTCGGGGGGAGTAATAGTAAAAGTCAACTTAGTTTGAGTGTGAAGAAGAAGAATGGGAAAGATTCAAAGACAAAAAAAGGAGTGATAGATGTAAGTAAGCTTTATCAAATGAAGCGTGAAAAAGTGTCTGCATGGACTATGAAGATGTTGGTTGACACAATATCAAATTCAGGGCTCTCAACTTTCTCTGGTGAACTTGAAGAAAGTGCTTATTATAATGGAGATGATTCACGTGAATCTGTAGACAAAGAGATTACTAATGAGATGGAAGCAATTGCAGCTGCATATCATATCTTTAGAAATGTTGCTCAACCTGGTTCTGAGTAAGAACATCTATATTATTTTTGAAGTTTGAAGTTTGAACACATTCTTATTTATTCATACATGTTATATGTCTATGTAGATACATTGAAGATATTGATCTAAGGAGATTCATGATCAGGGAAGAGGTGGACATTGTGTTTCCAATGATTGATGTAGCTGAAAAGGGGAAAATTGATAGAAAAACTTTAACAGATTGGGTGGTGAAAGTTTTCAATGGGAGAAAAGCTTTAGCATATGCTTTAGATGACACGAAAACAGCTGTAGATGAATTAAACAAGCTTATTACAGCAATCTTAATTGTTGTAACCATAATTGTGTGGCTTCTTTTGACAGAGATTGCTTCCACCAAAGTACTTGTCTTCCTCTCTTCACAGCTTGTTGTAGCTGCTTTTATATTTGGGAACACTTGCAAGACTGTTTTTGAAGCCATTGTGTTTGTTTTCATGATGCATCCGTTTGATGTTGGGGATCGTTGTGTTATTGATGGTGTTCAGGTATAAAATATTCTCTAAATTTTGTATCTTAATGAGATTGCTATAATTACGTATGATGTTATTTGTGATAGATGGTTGTTGAAGAGATGAATATCTTAAATACGGTGTTCTTGAGATATGATAATGAGAAGATATATTATCCAAATTCGGTTTTGGCTACAAAGCCCATTAGCAATTTCTATAGAAGCCCAGATATGGGGGATAAGGTGGAATTTTCTATCGATTTTGCAACACCCTTTGAGAAGATCGGGATATTAAAAGACATGATAAAAATGTAAGTTGATATAGAGTGTAATGTCTAAATAAAAAACCAGATTAAAAGTAGAATGCTAGAAATAGTAACATAAATTCATTTATTTGTGTATTATATAGTATCCTATTTTTGTTTTATGGTCAGATATTTGGAGAAGAACCCTCAATTATGGCACCCCAATCACCTTTTTATTGTGAATGAGATTCAAAATGTGAACATGATAAAAGTGGCCCTCAGTATCAATCATACAATGAACTTTCAAGACTATGGTGAAAAAAGTAAGCGTAGAAGTGAACTGGTTTTAGAGTTGAAGAAAATGTTTGAAGAGCTCAAGATCAAATGCAATCTTCTTCCACAAGAAGTTCATCTGAGGAATCTGGAAGCACCAACTTATTAAGCGTGTATATGATTTGTTAAGGTACAAATATTTGTTATAAATTTGTATACTTGGGTAAAGTCTATTATGATCTCACATGGCTTCAATTATTTATCTTACATATTCTTTTAATAAATTTGTATACTTGTGAAATGTATTTATGATCTTGTATAACTTGAGTAAAGTTTGAAATTTTGCATTGGGGATATTAAATGAGAATTAAGTTTATTTAATTTTCCAAGAGAGTTTTCTAGAATTATACTGATTTGTGATAAATTAAAGAATATATATTGTTCTTATTTGTGTTATGATGGATATTGTAAATCATCAAAGAAGCATCGTATACCCGATCCTTGGGATCCAATGCATGTGACACAAGAACAAGAACTCGAGCTCCAATGGGCTTTGTCATCCACAGTGTCCTCAGCGATTTACAAGGCACCAAATCATCTCTTGTTTCTCACAAGATAAATGTGATCGATGTCATAAACAAATAACGTCTCGTTTTCCTCATCATGTTTGTATCATATGCTATTAAGAATTACGATTCTTATATGAAGAGCCCGAGTGGACCTCCACTTCATGCACTCATTAGCACAAGCAATTGATCATGATATCTTAGGGGCGTGCAGAACTTAACCGGTCCAATTACGACCGACCGAATGGATTGGATATCCAATTACAATTGGATTTGATCGGTTTTGAAATTTCAAAATCTAATTGGTTCGGATCGGTTCTTGGATCATCATAAAAATCCAATAGATAACTCAACTGAACCGATCCATTGTTCATCCAACCGGATATCCAATATTAATCTAATAAATATCCAATTACATTCCAATATTATTATCCAATTGATTTCAGAGAAATTACAAATATAGCCAATTCTTTTAATGATTTTACATGTTTGAACATTGGTTGTTGAAGTTGAAGACTTGAAGTATCGTTTGTTAGTCTTATTTAGTGTAATTGTGTGTGGTTTTAGTTTTAATTATCATAATTATAAATTATTTTATTGGATGGAAAATGGATTAGAATTGGGTGGATAATAGATAAACAATATGATATATTCAATAGATAAAACCGATCCAATCCAAATATCCAGTTGAATTGATTCGGTTCGATTGCATATAACAAATTAGATTGGAGTGGTTGACAAAATTCAACATCCAATGGATAATTGGATTGAATTGGTTCCATCAAAATCTATTGGATTAAAATCGATGAACACTCGTATGATTTCTCATGGATCTCGGCTACACTGGTTCCAAACCCAACACTTATTTAATGATTCATGACTTTAAAATTCATTGTGATATGTAAGGTATCCACGTCCCTTATAAGGTAATGTAAAGTTGTCTTTCTCGGTCGATTGTGATCAGGGATCCCTTCTCATATTGAATGGGTTAGAGATCCATGATCACACATCGACTGGGAAAGAGAGCTAAGCAATGTCTTATAAGGGGTGTGGACCTTTCTGATCATAACGTGTTTTAAAGTCATAAGGGCAAAAAATCATATGAGAACTCTACAATTAAGCATGCCCGGGGTAGAGTAATTTCAGGATGGGTGACCCTCCTAGGATGTTTTCGTGTCGGACGGCCCAAAGCTCATGATATTATGGTATGTGCTGTCCGAATATGAAAATTTGCAGATATTCTGACACCCCCAATAATGTCATCATTTAGGAAATTATTGATAGTCCATCCCGTAAAATGAATACAAGGAAACCTCTCTTGAAAGGGGATGGGTCTCTGTCCATATGCATATTTTTAGTTTACTTGCGGTTTGATTAATGCAATTGTCATTTTATATGATTTTCTTGCACAAAGTTTCGATTTTATAGGGCTTGGTTTGGGTAAAATCAGTTTAGTTTCTTGTCACTTTCATTTTTTTTTTTTTTGGAAACGGCAAATGATTAAACGGAAGCCTACTTGCATATTTCAACGAGCACCCCGGGTTCGAGCTCCTTTATAGGGCAAACCCAGCCCCCATAGGGGTTTTCAGGGAAAATTTCTTGTCACTTTCATTTATTTTGCACTTAACATCATTGAAGTATCATTTTTTCACAAGATCAAAATTTTCCATTAAAATTTTTCCCATAAACATCATCAACCAAACAGGATTGTATTTAATAACGTTCATGGACAATTTGAACTTAACTGTCAAGAACACGTTGCATTAAACATCATCTTTTCCCATTAACCACCATTACATAACACGTTTTCAAAATTCAACCAACACCTACATCATACCAACTACAAAAGTGATCGTTTTCCATATATTCTATCTTACTTGTTAGAATGATTAAAAGGGGTTAGATATGAAAACAATCTTCCAAATCATCACTTTAAACTCCATGCTCTCCACTTTAGCTTGTGGAGATTGTTCATGAAGTAAAGTAAACAAGGCATGACCTTCTTCGAACTTGGGCACATTTCTAGGTCAAACCACCCAATGAAGTTGTAATCTGTTCTTATTGTTGGGCTTGGCCATTTCATTTCTTCCACAATAGCACAACACCATAGCTTCTTCTTGGTGAGAGTTTCTTTCACAGAGAGTAATGGATCGTGGGGAAGAAGAATATATGAAATAATTTAGTCATATATAGGGCTTTCATTAGGATATGAGGGAAATGACTATCATATGCCCTCATATAAGATGCACGTTTTAACGATAACAACACAAAGTGGAAAGAAAAAAAATTGAACTTGAAGTACATAACAAACACAAGGACCATTTCTGTAATTTAAAATTTATTTAAAAAAAAAGGCCACAGGATTAGATTAGTCATTGGAGAAATTATTTAATTAATGGTTAAAGTTAATAGAAAAATAATGTGACAATAATCTTGATAACTTTTTTTGTCCTGTTTATTCAAAATGCGTACGTAATCACATCATTTGACAAATACAGCTCGACTTTCTCAAGTCTACAAATTAGACATAAAGAAAACACAATAACCATCCTACACAGTTGATACATAACATAGTAATATATACCATACCTTGCAAACAGTTTAACGTTGTTTTTTGTTATGTTTTGTTCATATATAACTACTATTTATGATTGTATTCAAATTGAGTATCGTTCTTCCCACCAACGCACTACACATTCCCTACCACCACTACATGTTCTAGAAATGACATTGTATGCTTACAACATACCATGAATAATTTGAAGGAAAAAAAATGGAGATTTACATTTTACAAGATGCAATGAGAAATATGGGATTGATTATTACTATTATTATTATTATTATGGTTGTTGATTTTACCTTGATGGTAATTTTTCATTTTTTTTTTCTGTGTAAGCTAAAAATCTGAATGGTACAAACAAACTAAGGTTGAATGAGTTAGAGGAGAACGACATAAAGGGCATTCCGGCTTTTCATTACACCATTCCATTATGCAATTCCTACATAAATAATTAATTAATTAAAAACATCAATCAACATTTAAAAAAAAAAATAGTGAAATTAAGAAAGATCTGGGTGTTATAAATAAATACCAGCAAAAGACATGTCCACAAGGAGTTGCAGTTGGATTTTGGCGATTACTAAGGCAAAGTGTACATTTGCTAATCACACTTGATCCAGTCTGCTATCAAAAAAGTATTTTAATTTTTAACCATATCATATCAGTGAAAAAACATTCCTACTTTTTGCATTTAACCATTTTTTAATATTTCTACATAACCTTTGATTAATAAAATTCAGAAGAGTTAGAGTACCTCAGAGGTTGTCAAGGAGTCCGATACTTTCTCAGTGTCCCCAGTGATCAAATTTCCTTCTTCATTTAAAACAGGTAAACCTCTCCCTGAAAAATAAAACAAAAAATAATATAATAAGTTTGTAATGATATATTATTATTAAAATTGATATAAAAAAATAGAAAAACGAAAACCTGCAGATGCTTGATGAAGGCTTAAAGATGTCTGCTGAACAGAAGATGTGATGGATGTTAAGTTGCTACGCCTCAATCCTTCAGCAGCAATAATACACAACTGAACCAATAGAAACATGCCCAATATTTGATATCTGCATGTTATAGAATTCAAGAATATTAATATTTGAAAAAAAAAATTAATTTTTATTTTAGAGAATATTAAGATATACCTGGGTCTTTGATTCATGGGCTTCCCAATAAAAACATATCGAATGCCTGCTGCACGCTTTGATATATGATAATATAAACCTGCAATAAATATATAATCAAATTGCTTAGTAGATTGTAAAAATAATAACCATTGTAAAAAAAATAATAAACTATTGGTTCCATAAAGATACTCACCTTCAAAATAGAAGAACATAAGGTTAGCACGAAGAAGCAGCTGCAAAAATTCACGGGCTAATGGAAGCACCTGCCAAAAATAGCAACCTAATTTTATTCATTTGTTTATTATAAGTTATTATAACATCATATACTTTCATTTCATTCTATTTTTTTAGTGCATATATATATATATA